ATGAAATTGCGTCTGAAACCGTTTCTCTGGTTGTTTGCATCCTGGTTTACCTAGAGGTTCCTTCTAACTTGGGCTGACGGTTGTGGCTTTTATAGGAATGAATTCTCCCCGTGATTGTTTTTAAGATTCATTAAAATAATCTGTCATTTCTGACCTTCTCTAATAGGCAGAGTGGCACATTTGTGTTTGTCTATTGGTAGGTAAGGGGAAGTGGCTAAGATGCTGAGCTTGTCGATCGAAAGGTCGGCAGTTCAGCGGTTCGAATCCCTAGTGCCACATAATGGGATGAGCTCCTGTTCCTTGTCCCAGCTTCTGCCAACCTAGCCGTTCAAAAGCATGTAAAAAATGCAAGTAGAAAAATAGGGACCACTTTTGGTGGGAAGGGAACAGCGTTCCGTGCGCCTTTGGTGTGTAGTCATGCCGGCCATATGACCACGGAGACGTCTTCAGACAGCGCTGGCTCTTTGGCTTTGAAATGGAGATGAGCACCGCCCCCTAGAGTCAGGAACAACTAGCACATACGTGTGAGGGGAACCTTTACCTTTACCTATGGAGATGCTCAGTCATCCAGGCCATGGTTGTCCCAAAGATGCTTTTTCAAGAGGCAATGTTCATCCTTCTTTCGACAGAATAACTCTAGAGAGACCAATTTTTGAATGCCACATTCGTAAATATGGCTCTTTTTATGGACATTTTCCTCTAATCACTTATTTTTGTGTAGATTTTTCTACGGATGGACACAAGAGGACTCTGTTCAGCCCATGGTTAGGTTTTGACAAACCTCACAAAGATCCAGCCACAAATTATATATATATAGATTTCCTTTTACCTTCCTACTCTCTGGGTGTTGGGTAGGGGAGACATTTGACTTGCTGTTCTGAGCTACAAGAATTTAATCTGCAGAGACGTTTTATGTTTCAGAACCATGGACAGCTCAACTTGGGGGGGAAATAGAGAACGTCTATGGGACAGATTTAACAGAATAGTTAAAGTTGGAAGGTTGGAGGTCTTTTAGTCCAACCTTCTGCTCAAGCAGGAAAAACGATACCATTTCAGACAATCTCTTCTTAAAAACCTCCAGTGTTGGAGCACCTACAACTTCTGGAGGCCTCGACTGTCCCTTCTAGTTCTATTCTGATTGATTGTTTTGCAAGTGTGGCGCCTTGCAAGTCCCCAAATTTCAAAGTCCCTACGTGGCTAAAGAGGAAGACTATTGGAGTTCTCGTTCAATCAGATGTGACAGTAACAGTTCTGTTTGCAAAAATAGAATAGAATAGAATAACAGAGTTGGAAGGGACCTTGTAGAATAACAGAGTTGGAAGGGACCTTGGAGGTCTTCTAGTCCAACCCCCTGCTTAGGCAGGAAACCCTACACCACTTCAGACAAATGGTTATCCAACCTCTTCTTAAAAACTTCCAGTGTTGGAGCATTCACAACTTCTGGAGGCAAGTAGTTCCACTGATTCATTGTTCTCACTGTCAGGAAATTTCTCCTTAGGTCTAAGTTGCTTTTCTCCTTGATTAGTTTCCATCCATTGTTTCCTCTTGTGGCCATCTGTTAAAGATAGTCTTATGGATCCTGCACTGAGGAGATGGTGGACTAGACAGTCTCTATGGAACTAGGTGGCCTGTCTAGGATTATGATCCTGTGAATGATTCATAACCCCATAACCTACTCATTTAGATCTTTGGGTTTTTATTAACAAAGAAATTACAAGGAAGTAGACATGGTACTGTTTCATTCTTTGAGTCAATCTGTCAGAATAGACCTGGAAGGGATCCTGGAGGACCCCTACTCAAACAGGAAATCCTATACCATTTTAGACAAATGGCTGTCCAGTCCCTTCTTAAAAGCCTCCAGTGTTGAAGTACCCACAACATCTGGAGGCACGTTGTTCCACTGATTAATGGTTCTCACTGTCAGGAAATTCCTCCTTAGTTCCAGGTTGCTTCTCTCCTTGATGAGTTTCCATCAGTTGCTTCTTGTCTTGCCTTCAGATGCTTTGAAGAATAGCTTGATCCCCTCTTCTTTGTGGCAGCCCCTCAAATATTATCATGTCCCCCCCAGTCCTTCTTTTCACTAGACAAACCGTTGTTCCTATGTTTTAGCCTTCAGTCCCCTAACCATCTTTATTGCTCTTCTCTGCACTTTTTCCAGAATCTCAACTTTCGCTTTAATATTTGAACCCTCGGATACGACTGAGATTTACCTTAATCTACGAACATTTGAATATATGAAGAGGATTCTCTTCTGTTGGTAATAGATGATCCTTTCCTTGCCAATAACAATGATGCTTAGGTCATCCCCTCTTTGCAAAATCTTTCAGCTCCATCTTAGAGAAGAGCTGCATTCTGTCTCTTGTGTAGCTTGTCTTGAACTTGCGTAGCCATCATTTAAATTCTCTCTGATGGTTCGGTTAATTGCATTAACGATATTCTCCATGGTGGAGCAGAAAATGATTAGCTGTGACTTTTTCTTTTCATCTCTTTTTCTTTTTTTCCCCTTTTGTAGCAACCCACAGCACCTTTAAAAAAAACAAAACAAATAGAAAGTAGAAAAGGAATCCGTTATTGAAAGCTTGGCATTCTATGTTGACAACTGTTAACGTCAAGATTGATCTTCCCTCCCCCTACCCTTCATTTAAAAAAAAAAATCTCTAGATGAAGAGACATTGCCTCTTAAAGCATCACATCCTAATAGGTAAAGGTTCCCCTCGCACATATGTGCTAGTTGTTCCTGACTCTAGGGGGCAGTGCTCATCTCTGTTCCAAAGCTGAAGAGCCAGCGCTGTCCGAAGACGTCTCCGTGGTCATGTAGCCGGCATGACTCAATGCCAAAGGTGCACGGAACGCTGTCACCTTCCCACCAAAGGTGGTCCCTATTTTTCTACTTGCATTCTTTACGTGCTTTCAAACTGCTAGGTTGGCAGAAGCTGGGACAAGTAACCAGAGCTCACCCCGTTACACGGCACGAGGGATTCGAACCGCTGAACTGCCAACCTTTCCATCGACAAGCTCAGCGTCTTAGCTACTGAGCCACCGCGTCCCTCTTTCGTGTCCAAATATATTGCTTTTGTTCCCGTCCTTCTGCTGAAAATCTTTGCCACGTCCATTCCTCCGTGCCAGCATGGTGCCACCCTCCCCTTTCACTTCGTTAAGAGGAGAGCCAAGCTGTGATGTTGAGGTTGGAGGAATATTTTCTGCTCTCCTCTTGAAAGCGTACAAGATTTTCCCAAAAAGAAAATTCTTCACGGTCAAAATGAATTTGGTCTGGGTAGGCTCAAAGCGATTGTCGAAAGCTTTAACTCCTGCTCTGAAAAGCAATCAGCTCTGCATGACTTCGCGTCTCCCATGGTCACCAGATGCTGGCGGGAGAGCAGAAGAAGGATGGTGAGAAAACCTCAAGGCTGGTGTGGCTTTAAGTCATCCCTCATAAAGGGGATTCTTGTCCCATCCCGGGAGTGAAAGGGGATGGGAATAACTATCATGGATCAAGGCTGGGAAGGTGAGTGGTGCGGTGGCCTAGAGGTGGAGCTCTCGCCTCACAATCAGGAGGCTGTGAGTTCAATCCTAGGTAGGGGCAGATATTTCTCTCTCTGGGCACAATGAGAATATATTATCTGCTGAACAAAACTCTGCATTGGTGACAGGAAGGGCATCTGGCCACTAATCATTCTGCTCCATTCAGTTGGCCAGACTCCACCCAGCAAGGGATTATGGGATCATAAAAAGGAGATGATGATCAAGGCTGGGAAGGTCATGCTTTTTGAGAGGCGCTCTAGATGTCCTCAGATATGAAAGGACTACAGTGCCATGCTGTCTAGTAAAACTGGGTGTTGTGATCCCAACATACTTAAAGGAATTTTGTTTTATTTATTGATATTTTTATTTAATTTTTATCTGGCCTTTATTACTGTAAAAGGAACTTAAGGCGGTGAATGTATTCCTTCCTCTTCCTATTTTTCCCGCATGATGGGTTGGGCAAAGAGAGAGGGACTGTTTCCAAGGTCACCCAGCCAGCTTTCATGCCTAAGATGGGACTAGAACTCTCTATCTCCTGGTGATTGGCCCAAAGTCACCCAGCCAATGTTTATGCCTAAGGCATTGACTAGAACTCCCTATCTCCTGGTGATTGGCCCAAAGACACCCAGCCAGCTTTCATGCCTAAGGCAGGACTAGAACTCTCAATCTCCTGGTGATTGGCCCAAAGACACCCAGCCCTACACCAAACTAAATAGTTTAAACGGAGGAAATAGAGAAAGAACTGGATGCTTTTTCTTGAGGCCTTATTAGTGCTTACGTTGAAGACTTCATTTGATTATTAACCTTCAAGGTGGGTCTTCTTTAATTAAATGAGCTTTCTCCAACCTGGTGCCCCTTCCCTTTGAACAAATTGAACTACAGGTCCTGTGACACACCTGGCCAAAAGGGCTATTAGCCAGTTGGCTGGCAACAAGAAGAATTTTGGTCCAAAGCTCCTGGCAGTTGTTTGGAATTACGTGGCACCCAGTGGTGGGATTCTACTGGTTTGGACCAGTTCGGGCGAACTGTTAGCTCGATCAGCCATGAGCGAACCGGTTCGCTCCAATTTTGAAGTGGCCCATCCACCCATCCCTGCATTATACTCGCCTATAATTCCATTTCCGAAGCCCAGCTGATGGGTGCGGCAGAGTGGATTGCCATGCCTCAGCTGTTTTCCTTGCTGGCAGCAATGCGTAAGGTGAGTTTTCTCCAAACTGCGCACATGCGCAAAGCACATGTCTGGCGCGCACGTGTTTAGCAAACCGGTTGGATCCTACCCCTGGTGGCACCTATGTTGAATACATGACATTAAACTGATTTGAAGTCCCAGCCTTTTCAGAAGGTCGTTGAGGAACCTGTCCGTTGAGTTTGCCCGACGTGGAAGCCGCGTTGAAATGGACGTTGAAATGTCGTTTATGGAGCCACCCCGTGATATTCTGAGGGTCTTTAACCACCTCCCCTTTCTCTCTGCCCTCTAGGTGGTCAGCCAGATTGACAAGTTGACCTCAGACTTCGAGTTTGAGCTGGAGCCCGACGATTGGACGACCACCACGGTGAGCAGCACCTCCAGCAGCGAGAAAGGTGGAGGCATATTTGACCTTGGGCACCTGGATTTCATGACCTCAGACATCCTTTCGGACAGCTGGGAATTCTGTTCTTTCCTCGAGGCCTCCACCCCTTCGGATTCGGGCGACGGTTCGGAGCAGCAGCAGCAGCCACAGCCACAACAGCCACCGGGGCATCAACCCGATTACCAGCTGATGAATGGTGGGGTGTTGCTCTACAACGGACCCCGGATTGAAACCCCAGACTCTTCCAGCGAGGAAGCGTTCAGCTCCATACCAAGTCACAAACCTCACCATCCGAGGACGCCGGGCACCAGGGAGCGGGTGCGTTTTAGTGACAAAGTCCTCTACCATGCTTTGTGTTGCGATGATGACGATGAGGAGGCGGACAGCGGGCCCCTTCCGGATGATCCTCCGGAAGAACCCAACGAGACCACTCCGAAGGGGGCGTTAGTGGCCAAGACGGCAATGCGACGGTCCCCTCACCTTGATAGCGGCCAACTGCGGAAGCTGACACGGAACAGCAGCACCCAGACGGTGTCAGACAAAAGTACTCAGACGATACTCCCTTATATTTCGAACAAGCAGAAAATCAACCAGAAGAACTGAGGAACAGCAGGGGGGAAAGGGTGGGCTGAGCTGAAGAGGAAGAAGGAGCTGCAGCGGGAGAGAGAGAGAGATCTATAAACAGATAGATAGATAAATTTCTCTCTATATTTAAGTCAATAAATAATCATGATATGATGAAAAAAAAAATATGGAAATGGGATATCCTCTGACTACCTAACCGTCATGTCAAGACTCAGGGAATTTAAACTGTTTTGTTTGTCGAATGTCGTATTTCTCCCCGTTCGTGCATTGCTTATTTATACATGAAAGGAAACAAACCTTGTGCCATTTCACGTCACAAAGCAGGCGGGGGGGGGGGAATCTATTGAGGATGAGGAAGAGTAAGATCTACAGACTCCCCCAAAGTTTTTCAGAATAGCATGTTTTGACATACTAGCTTATTCCCCCCCCCCCCCAATCCTGCTCCCTGGTTAATGATTGTGTGATTTTGATTAACATAGAGGAGTTGACTAATTGGGAGACAGAGAGACAGACAGACAGACAGACAGACAGACAGACAGACAGACAGAGACAGATGGATAGAAGTAGATTATGGATGGAGATGGATGGATGGATGATATAAATATATATATTATGGAGATGGATGGATGGATGATATAAATATATATATTATGGGGATGGATGGATGGAGAGAGAGATGGATAGAGGTATATTATGGATGGAGGTGGATGGTGATGGATGGATGGATGGATGGATGGATGGAGAGAGAGAGAGAGAGAGAGATTATGGAGATGGAGGGAGGGAGGGAGGGAGGGAGGGAGGGATGGAGAGAGAGAGGTGGAGAGAGGTATATTATGGATGGAGATGGATGGTGATGGATGGATGGATGGAGAGAGAGAGGTGGATAGAAGTATATTATGGATGGAGATGGATGGTGGAGATGGAGATGGATGGATGGATGGATGGAGAGATTATGGAGATGGATGGATGGATACAAATGGAGAGGGAGGGAGGGAGGGAGAGAGAGAGGGGGGGAACCTAGATCACACCATTTTAGCCTCTATTTTAATTTTTTGAACTTCCTAAGTCTCCCCACTCCTCTGCAGCCCCAGAATTCACAATCCAAAAGTATTGTTGTTACCCTAAACTCTTGTTAGGTAGTCTTTTATTTTTAAGATGGGGGGGGGATAAAGGAACATCTGGTGCGCATTCCTATTTTTAAAGTAAGCAGAAATTTGGAAAGCAGCACAGGTTCGTGTAGAAATAAAGTTCCCGATGCAGAAAGAATTCTCCTTTAACCTTCTGCCGGGCCAAATGGTTTCCTCCTTCTGAGTTCTTCTTACCTCTCACGAAGTGAGGTGGGGCTGAGAGATTCAAAGGGAGGAGAGTTAAAAGGGAAGTCACAAATTGGGTCAGTAAGTGACAACTTTTCCCGCTTTGAACTTTTCCAACAACAACAACAACAACAAAGAATTCTAGGATGATAAACTGTCACCGCCAAGACCTCCTGTACTTATTTGCCGCCTCCCCACTTCAAAGAGCTTTTTCTGAACTGTGTTTATTTAAGACTGGAACCTCAAAGTCAGAGAGAGATGCCTCCTGGCATCTGTTTAGCATTACTTATTTCCCGATGTCTGGTTTATTATTTATTTCCTTTCCCTCCGATTCCTCTGCAGCAGCCTCAAAACCAGGAGTGGGATGCAGAAATTTTAGCAACCGGTGCTCTGCCCAGTTGCTGGATGAGCGTGGCCATGGTGGGCGTGGCCTACTCGTCCTCCTGCACCATGGGGATGTCTTTTTGCCCTCCCCAGGCTCCGGTGGCTTTCCTTGAGCCTCCAAGAGGGTGAAAATGGCCTCCCCTATGCTCTGGAGACCTTCCGGAGGCTGGAAATGGGCCCGTTTTTGGACTTCCGGTATTTCCGGTAGGCCCATTTTTTGCCCTCCCCAGGCTCCAGAGGCTTTCCTTGAGCCTCCTTTCCTTTCCTTTCCTTTCCTTTCCTTTCCTTTCCTTTCCTTTCCTTTCCTTTCCTTTCCTTTCCTTTCCTTTCCTTTCCTTCCCTTCCCTTCCCTTCCCTCCCTTCCCTTCCCTTCCTTCCCTTCCCTTCCCTTCCCTTCCTTTCCTTTCCTTTCCTTCCTTTCCCTTCCTTTCCTTCCTTTCCCTTCCCTTCCTTCCCTTCCCTTCCCTTCCCTTCCTTTCCTTTCCTTCCCTTCCCTTCCCTTCCCTTCCTTTCCTTCCCTTCCCTTCCCTTCCCTTCCCTTCCCCTTCCCTTCCCTTCCCTTCCCTCCCTTCCTTTCCTTTCCTTTCCTTCCCTTCCCTTCCCTTCCCTTCCTTTCCCATCCCATCCCATTCCATCCCATCCCATCCCATCCCATCCCATCCTTTCCTTTCCTATCCTATCCTATCCTTCCAATAAAATCCATGTCAACCACGCTCGTTCATGGATTTTTAAAGATGTACATTGAATAAGGACCTAACTTCCTGCTGTGCCTATTTTTAAGTTCTTAGCCTTGTTAGCCAAGTAGCAATGTTTGTGTTTCGAGGTAGAAAAAAAAAATTGCCACTCAGGCCTTTTATCCCTTACATGTTATACTGTTTATTGACGGCAGGTGATTTCTTGCAAAGTCTTACTTACTTTTCTTATCCAGCTTATCTAAATGGTCAGAAATCACTTATTTAATGACAACAAAGCAATATCTCATCTTCAAGCAGTCACCAGATCTGGAAAGAAACGCAGAAGAATTGAATCTTTCTTTGCCTGCAGGTTGAAGAAATTTGAAAAGAATCTCATATATAAAAGCCGTGTTGACAAGGAGGCTGATGGAGAAAAAATTGGAGCTGCAGCTTTTTAAGAACAAACAAACAACATATCAAACCACAATCTCTAGCAGGCTACAATGTCAAAAACAAAAATAAACTGGGAGAATTTTCTCTTCCCAGCACTTAGAAAATAAGCTTTGGGAACGGCGTTTCTCTGCTTCAGAAAACAAATTAACTAGGACATCCTTGTTTAAAAGAGAATATTTGTAGCTCAGGGATGAAAGGAGGGGTCCTTATGGCTCTCTGGGCTTGGTTGTTTTTTTGCAGACATCTCATCACCCAAGTAGATAACATCAGCAGTGCTAGAAGTGGGTGGGGCAAGCCACCTGTATTTAAATAGAGATCAAACCCCACTCCCTTCTAACACTGATGATGTTATTTAGTTGGGTGATGAGATGTCTGCAAGAAAACAGAGAGCATCAAGGACCCCACAGTCCTCCTCTTCCTCCACTCTGCAAACCCCACTCCCTTCAAGCACTGATGATGCTACCTAGACATGAAGCAATGGGTGGAAACTCATCAAGGAGAGAAGCAACCTTGAACTAAGGAGAAATTTGGAATTGGGTATGTCTAGTCTAATGAAAAGAAGGACCAGGGGTGACATGAAGGCAAAAGAAGGCAGGGGCTGCCCCAAAGAAGAGGGAGTCAAGCTATTCTCCAAAGCACCCAAGGGCAGGACAAGAAGCAATGGGTGGAAACTCATCAAGGAGAGAAGCAACTTAGAACTAAGGAGGAATTTCCTGACAGTGGGAACGATTCATCAGTGGAACAACTTGCCTCCAGAAGTTGTGGATGCTCCAACATTGGAAGTTTTTAAGCAGTTGTTGGATAACCATTTGTCTGAAGTGGTGTAGGGTTTCCTGCCTAAGCAGGGGGTTGGACTAGAAGACCTCCAAGGTCCCTTCCAACTCTTGTTATTCTATTCTATTCTATTCTATTCTATTCTATTCTATTCTATTCTATTCTACTCTACTCTACTCTACTCTACTCTACTCTACTCTACTCTACTCTACTCTACTCTACTCTACTCTATCTTGCAAAAGTCCCAAAACAAAAGCAATCTGCTACAGGGCAGGAATGTAAACAGAATAACAAGTGAGAATAACAAGTGAACAATTAAGTTCACTACGGCACAGAAACATCTTTTCATTCATCAGTTGCTATCCAAAGACACAAAATACGGTAGGTTGATCCGTGATGTTAAGCTGTGGTTTTATTCAACCATGCTTTGCTAAATATTATAAACTGCTAATTTTGAGGGGGGGGAACGTGCCCTACATCGTCAGCTGGAAAACACGTCCACATACTACAGCAGCTATCTTTACCCATGATGTATGAATCCATCCATCCGTGACAGAGACATACTGTCATTTTCTTTTTTTAAAAAAAATTATTATTATTTTGCTTATGGGGATGAATGAAACCATTATCTGGTCTTATAACTACTGTTCTGCCCGGCAATAAAGCTGATCTATAGATCTGGCTTTGCAATTTGCATGGATTTTATCTTGAAAGAGCAAATAAAACATTTGCGGCCTGCCCGAAAGCATGAGAGAGAAAGGAATAATTGGAGAACATAAACCCCCGAGTTCAAAATTTTACACCGAATTAAGCTGTTATGGGTCCTAGAAAAGAGCCTCCTTTGCAGCCGAGAGCAGCTTCACGAACGGAACAATGAATCTAAGCGACATTGTTCGGATCGATACTTTTATCAGCTCCTCCGCTGCTTTTTCATCCAAACGAATGTACAATCCTAGATGTCTATCTCTATCTTTTTTTTTTTAAAGCAAAAAAATTCCCCATAAAATTGACTGCCCTCCAACCAAACCTTACATGTTTATTTCCTCCGAGTTCTGAAGGACTTTGTTTAGGGAAGGCACAGCCTTGAAATCCAACAGATGTCTCCTAACATCTGGTTAGCTCTTATTTTCTCCTTTATGGCCGATCATTCATACATACACAGACATTGCATGCCCATCTTTATTTTATTATTCATTTATTATTTATCCAATTTATGTAAGGCTGCCGGGTCCATAATGTATAACACTAAAAAACAGCAAGGAACAATATAAAAATGAAAAGAACGATGAATATCTAGAGGAGAATAAAACATCTCGACCAGAACTGAAGAAGCTACTTGGATGAGAAGCAAAATATTTGCCAAAAAAATAAAAAAAAAATCTCCCAAGAAAGTCCAGCTGGCTTTTGGAAGAAAAACAGCATCTTTGGGACAATTGTAGCCTGAATAATTGAGAATCTCCATAGACATCTAGATCGGTGTTGTTTTTTTTTAAAAAAAGTTGGACACTTTAAGATGTGTAGACTTCAACTCCCGGAATTCCCCAACCAGCCTGCTGTCTAGGGAATTCTGGAAGTTGAAGTCTACATATCTTAAAGTTTGAAAAACCCTATCTTGATCAAACATTCAAGATCCTGTAAGAAGTTCATCGCCCCAACCTAGCTCAAGGCAAGTGAGTTTTTCTGAGGTCAAGGTTCATGCGGATCTCTAGAAAAGACCTTCTCAGTTGTAGAATCTGGAAAAGCATCGTCCCATCAGATGATACTTCAATTGATAGGACCTGGAGTATATCAATTCCATCAGACAGAAAAAGTTGGCAGATGCCAAAGAAGACAAGATAGTCCCTCAGATAACCCAGGCCACCCAAGATGGTGACGGTGATGGAGATAGAACACCATCATTTTTGGGTAAGGATAGCAAGAACATCTCATCTGAAGGTCTTACAGAATTACAGAAAAACAGAGTTGGAAGAGACGTTGGAGGTCTTCTCGTCCAACTCTCTGCTCAAGCAAGAAACCCTTCACCATTCTGGACAATTCTCTTCTTGAAAGCCTCCAGTGATGGAGCTCCCACAACTTCTAAAGCAAGCTCTTCCACGGATTAATTGTTCTCACTGTCAGGAAA